CTATCACCAAGGCCTTCGCCGCAGCTGTAGACCAACACGCAGAGGGCTATACTGACCCTCAGGAAGCCAGGATCGCCGCAGAGCTGCAGCAGAAAGTCATCCAGGCTCTAACCTCCATCTCCCCAAGCAACTCCCCCCCAAGCTCCCGGTGGAGCAGCGACACCAATCACAGCAACCCCGGGAGCCAAGACTCAGGACGTCGCTCTTGGGCGGACGTAGCCAGAAACCCCCAAATCCCAGCGCCAAAGAATAGGGGTAGCGACAGGCCCCTGTTCCCTGCTAGGTCCCGGCCTGGCCCGCCAGCTAAGCTAAAAGAAGACAATTGGATCTTCATCGCTATGTCTAATCCAGCAACGCGATTGCATCGACCCTCACCCTTTGCAGTAAGGCAGGCGGTATGCAAGAGTGTAGGAGGAATCACCCTCTAAGACATCCCCACTGCCTCGCCAATTAACACTGGCTGGGCGATTACGCCAGCAAGTAGAACCATTAGAGACCAACTTCTGACCCAAGAAAACCAGGAGCTTGTGGTAAAAGCCCTGGGCGGAGATACAATCAGGGTCCCAGAACACTGGATCAACTACGCTGTACAAGGAGTACCCAGCTCGTTCCGGACTCTAGACGGCACTGAACTACCTACTACCACCCAGCTGGTTGAGGAAGAGGTCCGCTCGCAAACAGGCAAGCAGCCAGTTAGCTGCAGAACCTCCCGACACGGGGCCAACCAGAATGGCTTGACTACCTGGATCATATCATACAAGGAGCCAGTCCGCTTGTTCCGGCTCTTTGGCACCAGCCAACTCTCTAAAGAAATCCACAAACACCCTACTATACAGCGACACGACCCAGGCTGCCAACAATACTGCAACGCTGCCCGCTGTACTCGGCTAGCCCGCTGTGTGCACTGCGGAGATCGCACAGATAGACACCAAGGGCTCTATGGGGACGACTGTCCTCATAAAGCCAAGTGCACCAACTGCCATGGCCCACACCCGGCCAGTCACTCCAACTGCCCCGCTGCCCCTCGCCGGGTGCATGGACACATAATCAAGCCCACCAAGACTGAACTAAACGCTATCTATCGCGCAGGCAGAGCAACATACCAGCACCTCTACAGGACGGTAGAAGAGACGCTTAACCAGGCAACGCCGCAGCATGAGGAGACCCTTAATCAGGCATCGCCTCAGCATGAAGATACCCCCCTAGAGGCCGCGCAGGAGATAGCGGCCCCCCACCCTCCTCCACGGGGGCGGGCACTAGAAGAGGATAGCAGGGCAGCTCCAACTGGAACAAGCAGCGCCTCTCAAGCATCCTTGCCCACCACTAGTAGAGAAAAGAGACCAAGACGGGCCGCTGCAGGCCGTACGAACCTGAATGTAAGGGACATGTCAGCCAACAGTCTGCTCCCACGACCAACCATCTACACTGATCCCTTAACCTCCGAGAGGGAGGACATCAGCATAAGCAATCAGTCACTATCTACATGTTAGGACACCAACACACACCCTCCGCCCGCAACAGGCAACGACGGCCTGGCCAGCAGGGAGACCAGCTCCGCATATGCTGGGCCAACGTCGGCAGGAGCTCACCCTGCCACATTACAATCCTAGAAGCGGCCTTTCAGAAGGACATGGATGTTGTATGCGTCCAAGAGCCTTTCACCTGTGCCAACTCAAGGACCTCCACCCACCCAGGCTTCAGACACCTCGCACCCATTAGCACCTAGGACGCTCCTAACGCACTAGGCGCAACTCGCCCTTAGGTGATGACCTACATCCGCAAAGGATACCACTTGAAGCTCTAGGCTAGACAAAGCCTCGATCACCCAGACCTGCTGTGGGCTGTCGTGAACGGAGTCTCGATACTCAACTGCTACAGACAGCCACTTACCCCTGACGTACTCCAATACGTTACGCACCTTACGCCCCCCCAACACTGCGTTGTAGGAGGGGACTTTAACGTCAGACACGAATCCTTTGAGCCCTCTGTTTCCGCAGCCAGCGGCGGCATAGAGCTCGCCAGGTGGGCTGCTAACGCCTCTATGGACTACATTGGTGTGCCGGGGCAGCCAACACACTGCGCTGGCCATGTCCTTGACCTTACTTTCTCTAACATCCCATTTGCCCAGTCTGCTGTTGATGCTAGCATGCATTGCGGGTCAGACCACGAGACAATAGTAACCTCTGTCTCT